GGGGAGGGGTGGAGTCCAGAGCCTGGGACAGTCTGCTTCTGACTCTGCCAGGCTCCCTGTCCCCAGGAATGCCTTGCCTCTCTCTCACCTTCCTTCTCTCTTTCTCTCCACAGGTTGGAAAATGGCTGTGGGAACGCTTCTCCTATGATGAAGGTACCTGCCCAGTCTCAGCAGGGCTCCCCCTTCTTCCCTCTGCCCATCCAGCTCCCTTACCTGGAGGGGCCCATGTGGGGGGGTTCCCCACCCACAGACAAGCCCTTGAGTCTGTGATGGACATTCCCGAGGCCCTTGCTGTGTGTGGCACCCAAGCTGGGCCCTGTTGGGGAGACACTGGGTTATAAGGAGGCACCCCCCTACCACTCTGAGGGGCTTTTTTTTTAGGGTGCTGGGGATTGAACCCAGAGACACTTAACCACTGAGCCACATCCTTAGTCCTTTTTTAATTTTTTTATTTGGAGACAGAGTCTCTCTGAGATGCGTAAAAATATATATATTTTTTTAAATTTTGAGACAGAGTCTTACTAAGTTACTTAGGGCCTCACTCAATCGCTGAGGCTAGTCTCAAACTTGTGATCCTCCTGCCTCAGCCTTCTGAGTCACTGGGATTACAGGCGTGCACCACCATGCCTGTTGGCTTGCCTCCTCTTCCCTGGGTCTCACCTCAGGGCCTTTGTAGACTCCCCGGCCTGGAACGTTCTTTGACTCTTGACCTAAATGGATCCTTCTCTTTCAAATCTCAGCCAAAAACGTGGAGTTCACTGAGAGGGCCCCTCCCATTTCCCTGCCCGGAGCACTCCTTCCCTTTCCTGTGCCCTGCAAGGTGTCCTGTAGGATTTTCTTTGAGGCACACTACCTTGTCCAATCCCTTTGTTTGTTACTTACCTGTGGCCGGTTAACCTATCGCATCCCAGGGGAACGTCAGCCTCATGATGGGGGTCTCTGCCTCTGCTTCCTCTGTGCTCATGCTCTGCCCGACTCCTGGCTGACCTTTGGGAACTGCCTCACACTCCCAGCACCAGGCACTGTGCTGGCTGCCATTGAGGTGGTGTTGGCCCCGGGGCTCACAGTCGGGTGAGGGCAGAACCCAGAAACAACCTCATGATGTAGAAAGCCAGAGACTGAAGTCTCTGAAGGCAGAGGTGGGGAAGAGCTGAATGGGTGTCCAGGATTAGGGAAAGGGCCCTTGGAGAAGTGACTCTTGAAGCTGAGAGCTGCAGAGGCTGAGAGTCGAGGAGAAAGAGGACCCAAGGTGGCCCTGGAGGAGGGAGGCAGAGCGGGGACAGCAGGGGAGGCTGGAGAAGCAGGAGCCGGAGCCTGAGGGACTCCCTGGGCCATGGTAGTGGGCGTGGTCTTTGTCCTAGGATCAGTACAGAGGACAGAGGGGTACGAGCCAGGATTGACAAGATGTGCTTCGCGATTTGAATAGGTCAGCCGGATCACCTGGGCTTTCCCAGCACAAGTGATGGTCATCCGAGCAAGTTAGGAGCTTAAGTTTGCCCTGGTCAGGTAGATTGGAGCAGGAGGGATGGAGGGGCCCAAGAGGTGAGCTGGGAGGAGAAGAGCTGGGCCATCGTGGTGGGCCAGAGTGAGGCCTGGGCAGCTGGAGCTGGAGTCAGCTTGGTCTCATGGCTGGGGAGCAGCCTGGGACCCAGGAGCG